GCACAGGGTAAAACAGCCACATCATCACAAAAAGTTTTCCGCGTCAACTCTCCGAAACTAAATGAGTGCTCGGATTTGACCTCATTTATACAGAAGAGGGATCTATAATTATCTGAGGGAGGGTTGTGGAGGAGGAAGCAAGCAGGGACAGATATCTCAAAGGGAAGAATGACGAGCAGGAAACTACAAAGAGGAGACCTCATTTCATTTCAAGTGACTCCAGGTGAGTGAGGGGGAAATGAATGACATGCCTAGACACATAGTGTGTGATATGGTATCCTGCCAAGAAAGGCACAGTGGTTGGTCACACATGTAAGGATAAAGCCAGTGAGATTAAAATATATTTATCTGATTTCAAATCCTTTACTGTATGAGCCTCATTGGGTCTGTGTCCAGGAACATGTCAAAAGTAAGTATATTAAAAACGGTGCTGTTAAAAAAAGGTCAGCCATGTCTGAGCCACTGAATAAACACACTAATGTGGTTTTAAATGTGATGAAAAAAGAAATCAATAATGAAACTTCCTAGTAAGCATCCTAACATTTGCTATTTAAAACAAAACACAGTTATTATAATTAAACCTGAGGAGGACATGAATGTGTGTCCTACATTGCATTGCAATCTGAAAAGTGGAACCAGTGCAAAAGAGCCTGCATTCTTTCAATTGGCCAGCAGGGGGGAAGATATACTGGTGACAAAACGGAGCTAGATTGAATAGAAGTCTATAAGAAAATCACCCATCTTCTCACTTCATCTATTAACTCTGTAAACATGTTCCTGACAGGTTTATGGATTAAATCGCCAAGTATGGGTCACCTTTAAAAACAGCCTGATGTTCATTTGGTCGATTAAGGGCACAATGTATCACAATCAGAATCGGTTTGATTACCAATAGGTTTACACACACGAGGAATTTGCTTTGGTGTCATTTACTCTAGATGATTAAGCATTGAGTATACTTTGCTACCTTGTGATTGACAAGTTGCTAAAACAACATTCGTCAGCATTTTGTTGTAGAAAAGAGTCTCCAAGCATGTTTTTGCTAGTAAATATTAGCGTCAAAATTAAAGGTGGGGTAGGTAAATTTGAGAAACCAACTCGAGTGCGCTAGAATTTGAAAATACACAACCGGAAGAAATCTGCCACTTCCTTACAGAGCCCCTCCTCCAACACACACGAACGCGCACATGACCAATGAGGGCACGAGATAAGTCTGTGCACAGATGGAAGGCTGACAGGCAGGTAGGCCATCCAGTTATTTTAGCCGGGCCGGCTCAGATGATTGGTCGTGCTTTTTACAGCGCCACAGCTTCCACAGATGATATTTTTTTATGGATTTTTTGTCAAAGCACTTCAGATATTCATTGCTATCGGGATGTTAAGAGCATTCCATGGAATATAACAAAAAGTGTATCTCGAGCCGGTTTCTCAAACTTACCTACCCCACCTTTAAGATATTTATGTGAATTAGAGTTAATACATTTTTTGTTTTTTAATTCTTGTTAAAGTATTTTATTTTATGAATGTTTTAAATGAAGAGGCTGATAACTGGAATGTAAATACCTTCAATAAAGTATTACAAATAAGGCACCTTGCTAACCAAGCTAACCCCGGACAGCATTGCTCTTCCCCAGCTCAACCCTCTCGTCTAAATATGGTCACTTCTGGATAAAATAAAACCAAGATGGCGCTGGCCATAATGCCAAACTTGAGGATTCAAAACGGTAGTCTAGAAAACCAATGGGTGACGTCACAGTGACTACGTCCACTTTTGTTTTTTAAGGATCAATCAAAGTCACTAGAAAGCATCCCCTAGAACATGGTTTACAGTATACTGTCTATATGAACATGATTGTATGTTATACATCAAGTAGTAGTAAAGATATACCATCCGGCATAAGCATCCTTAGAGCCGTGTAGATAAAAAGCTATCTGTTTTTTATTCTTCCTTCATCACGAACAAGCAGCTCACATAAAGCACAGATAATAAATCTACCAACAACGATAAAAAACAAACTTATTCCAGTCTAAATTATGAATGTACTGGCTTTAGTACTGCTTGTGCTCATATTAAAAGCAGTTTGGGAGGCTCTTGTGAACCATGACTGTGTTTTTAAGTGTAGCATCTCAGCAGTAGTTGCAGAACGAGCTCCACTGACTCCTGCAGTTAAGATTAAACACCATCATTATCAACACCATTGGAACGGAAAGCGTTGTGCACAACATGCACTGTGGGGTCAAGACAAAGGAGCTGAGAAAAGCAGATTATGTGGATCATTTAGACGCACCATGATCACCCTCTAATCACTCATTTCTTTTACAATGCATGAATGTAAGTCGATGATTAAATAAGTGCACCTGCTTTGAAACATATCCCAATGACCATAGTGTCAGCGATGTCAAATCAGATCAGATCAAACGTATTCACAGACAAAGGTAACTCAAAGTGCTTCACAAACCAAACATAGACATAGTAGACATGAAAAAACACTTAATCCCAACGCAGCACTGAATAAAACAGGAAGGAAATAATACAAAACATTCTAATCAAATGGAAGCAAATGTGAATAAATACAATTCAGTTCAAAGCCAAATAAAACGGTGGGTCTTGAGTTAATGAGAAGACACACACAACCAGTACTCAGTTTAAAAAGGGAGCAACATTTAGCTCATAAGCAAGCACACACACAGCACACACACACACACACACAGCACACACACAGCACACACACACACACACACACACACACACACACACACACACACACACACACACACACACACACACACACACACACACACACACACACACACACACACACACACACACACACACACACACACACACACACACACACACACACACACACACACACACACACACACACACACACGTGGCGAGAGATTAAATCCTAGAAGCAGAGCATCACTCAACCTAATGACTTTGCTCACGAAAGACGCAAATACACTCACATGCCATTGTATCACTTACTGTGTTACAACCTGCAGTGTCCATTTTAATGTTGGCCACAATCAGCCTGAACAAACTCCTGATTTAAGGCTCGAAATTGCCTTGAAGAAAGCTAGGAAAACAACGAGGGAATAGAGGATTTCGGAGGCAAAAACATCAGCGGCAGCAGCCATCAGATTTCACTTCACATACATAATTACACTGATGGCAAAACCAGTGCAGGTGCAGACCCAAAGAAGCCAATAAAAAATGTACAAATTCTCTCAAAAATACACAAACGCATTTCCTAAAACCTAAGAGTCCAATTGAAAGAGTAAATACTCACCCCAGGCAATTCATCGTTTTAGCTGTCACCCATTGCTCAAAGAAAGAAACTAAGTTACACCGTCAAATAGTGAGCAGCTTCACTATAAGACTGCTTCAGTGCGGGCTCTCTGAGGGGGATCAAATATATGTTGGGACTTTACCAAGTGTCAGGGGAAAACGGCCACCATGCAGAGAGTGAGCAGAATAATGAGAATAAAATCCATCCGGAAAAAACACAGAGAGAGGGAGGGGAGGTAGAAGAGTTCGGGATGGGTGGGGGAATCGTAAAAAAACACAAAGAGATAATAATAATGTTGTTATTGGTGCTCGAGCAAATAGGAGTGTCCTTAAATATAAAAAAAGTTGTCAGTGTTTGAATTATTCATGACCAATTTAGCGCACAGAAATCCTGTCGCCTCATTTGTCATTTCAGGTAAGCACAGCACTCACTGACCTCATACTGCTGGAAAGGCTTTATACTGTATATTAATGCCACTAAAAATAGAACAATGTGGTGTAGTAGTGGATGAGAGCCAGCGTAGTAAGACAATAAAAGGTTTTGATTGGCTCTACTTGTGGAGGAATCTGTGGACAAACTGTCTGGGGATTGAGAGAACGTCTGGTGATTTTGGCGCAAACAAATCCTCTGGCTACCCGAGTGCTTTTTCACGTTTCCACTTCACAGAAACACACAAAACCTGTTGTGTGTTTCTCCAGGGACAGTGGATACAGAGCCACCGGTATTACATTATGTTTCCATGAAGCGAGTACTCAACTAAATCTGTCTGTGGCTCGTCATCACACACACCTCCATGCTGTGAGTTTCGCCTCACGTTGCCAAAACTCATTTACGGCACAAAACCTCTTAGTTCGGGCAGTTAAGTCCGAGTTTCACTAACACTGATGAAGCGACTTGGAGGGGGTCACTGTGGATTTACTGTGGAGTGGCAGATGGAGCCCACCTAAACCTAAAGCGCAGCTCTGAAGCGGCTGGCAGCGGTCGAGACCCCCGCGCTAATCCATCCTGCAGGACGAGCACCGGGAAAAGCCTGTTTACCCGTCATTATGACAAAAAAAACCTGCAGATAATTTTACTTTTCACTACTTGAAATATGACACATTTGGGGTGTGTGTGTGGGATACAGTAGATGGGGAGTAAGGGCTGCACAATTAATCGAATTGTATCGAAATGTCAATGTGGACTGGTGTAATGAACCCAGGAAACACATTAAATGTTTAATACAATATGTTTTAAATACCATCTTGAATGAAGTATTGTGGAGCTGCTGAGACATCCCAGTTTACAACTAGTACATATTCATTTTCAAAGGGCCTTTCATCTCATTTACAATGAAAATGAGAGACATTAAAAATTATTAATCCCTCCAATACTGCGAGTCATATCTCAAATGCCTTAAAAGTCAAAATAATACAAATTAGCACAAAATGATTTGTACCATGGGACCGAGACAGTGGGGGTAACATGGAAGAAGCAATTTTCAGACAACAGATGTCTTAGTCACACATGATGCATCTCTTTTTATGTTTACCAGTAGGCCACTTTGGTACATGTCCCCTCGTCTCAAAGCCTAGACTCAAGACGCATGGCTAGAATCCAGATAGCAGCCTTCTTTAAAGTCACCTCTCTACTTTCTACCAGCAGTTCATTCTGTCCTGTGTTTGGTGACCCATTGTAATGGAAGGTGAAACGCTTTGTCCTTACCGGATGTTGGAGATGAGCTGTCGGTGCTCTTCAGTGTTCAGGATGTCTGGCAGCACCGAGGCCAACCACTCCACTCTCTTCTCCGCTGCGTACTGCTTCAGAGCCGTGAAGAGCTTCTCTTTCACTTCGGGTTCATCACCTAGAATCTGTTCCACCTGATGCAGAACGGACAGTGATGTTAGAGGGGGGAGGCTGTCAACTCAAAGCCTGATTGGTACTGTGACAAACTTCATCTGCAATTAAAAAGACAAATTGCCTTAAAAAGGGCTCTTTAGTTTGGGTTAGATCTTTTTTACGTCCTTCCAAACAGTTTAATCTTCCTCCGTTTGTTTTTATTTCCTCAGTTTAAATGATTCAAAGGATTACACAAGTGAATTGAATGATATTACACATTTACATTTTTTGAATGTGAAAGTATTTAGCATATTAAAAGAAAACATCTGAAGTGTGCAAAAAGATGGTGGATATGAAACACTTGGGGTGTTTCTCAATGTCGAGGAAGGATGCTCCAGAGCCACTATTTCAAGCATACTACGTCATCGAGTGCCGCCGAAGAACTGTTCCAATGTCCGGCATACTTGGAATTCTATCGAGGCCGGCGTACTTCGTAGCGAGAAATTTCGAGGATGCACATGTGTATCCTCCGCGGTCTTAAAATCCCCACAATGCTTTGCGCACGGACCAATTTCCAAATCTTTGGCGGAAATCGCGCTCCATTTAAGGCGGGGCCTCGCATATGACGCACACCTGCACACCTGTTAGCCTGTTCCACCATTCTTTGTTTTCCGAGGCTAGGAAGGATTCTTGCCTCGCTTCTGAAGGACCTGACTCGGAGGTACATGTGCTCCCAAGCAAGCGTCCTCGACATTGAGAAACACCCTTGGTCTCAAAACTGAATTTTTCAGGTCTCATGACTAAATATGCAATTAATCTGGTTAACAAAAGGTTTATAGCAGTGCTACTTTATAATTCTGGTTTTGAGATATGTTGATTAATCCATCAGTAGACAAAATTGAATAAGTATTAGAAGACTACGTACTCTTCAATCTACTGTAGGTAAGCCCTAATGGATCATTTCCAATAGTTGTATCATTCAACCAATTGATTTGTAAGAACAAAGTCAAACCCAACTTGAACAGAAAAAGGAGTTAACCTGCACTGTTCAAGGTTCAAGGCTTTTATTGTCATACAGTATGTACATAGCTACACTGTAGTTATGACAATGAAATTATTAGGTCAGAGGCTCCTCCAACAGAGCAACACAATAAAACTGATAATAGTGCAAGTAAATACAATAAAATAGAAATTGTGCAGAATAGTCTATATACAAGTAATTGGAATATTGATATATATAAGTTGCAGACAGATGAATGTTATGGATGTTCTTTCAAAAGTTCAAAACCTACACTGTTAGCCGTGACTGTGAGTTTGAACGTACCCTCCTGTTGAACTCCAGAGCTTTGTGTTTGCGGTCCAGCCTCGCTCCGTCTCCTCCCACCTGACTGTCCTCTATGCTGATGCTGTGTTTCTGCCGCGGGCCGAGACACAGCACCCCCAGGCGGAGCGTCCGGCCCTGCGAGGCTTTGATCAGCGCCGCGGCCGTCTCGTGCTGCCGGACGGGGATCCCGTTCACCTCCATGACGTAATCCCCCGCCTTCAGACCTGCACGGCCGGCCGGAGAGCAGGGCGAGCAGTCCTCCACCAGCAGGGGGCAGTCTCCCACGATGGTGAACCCAAAACGACCGTCCGGACCCGGTATGATGTCCATCTGTGACGCAGGGGGAAAAAAAATTGTAAATGTATTGAAATTAAAAGGAATTGAACTCCCCAAAAGACCCTTATTGAATAATGATTTACCCCGTTATCTTGAACAAAATGTTAGCTTGTCCCACATGCCACTATGATAAATAATGAATCCAAAAAATAATAAGAGTCTCGATGTATTGAAGTAAATGTGGGGCCTTATTTAAAAAGCAGCAAAATCATATCACATCATGCATCTAAAGACTCTCACAAGAAACGTGCAGCTGAGATTGTTCGTGCAGAAGTGTATTAAATGTTAAGATTTTAGCAAATATGCACTTCGTTTGGAAATACAGAGCATACGATAAGACAAATAATAATTGGATTATACTGCACGATTTCTGTGACAGTGTGAAAAGGGATGTTTTATATATATAGTATTTCTGTTGTCAAATATGGCCACGACGTACTTAAATTCGTCAAACCTTTTCCACATTTTTTGTTCACCATAGAGGCATGCGGGGTTCAAGGATTCAAGGTCACACAGAGCGAGTGACGGACATACAATTAATCATATTGCGTGTGAAGAACACCTTTAGGAACAAACCCCTAAAGACTTAGGATCAATCTAGATGCACTGTTACATATTGCGGTATCTCCACAGGCATTAACCTACTTATGCATTATTGCTGTGATAGATTCAGGAGCTGTCAGACCTGCTGTATGCGGGACACCACTCCGATGCTCGGAGGGATGTTCTTCTGAGTCTGGGCGATGGCCACGACAGCTTGGGGGCCTAGCGTTGACACATTGTGGCCCTCGATCTCCAGGACCTGGTCCCCCGCCTGCAGCCCGGCCAGGTGAGCGCTGCTGCCCTCCTCCACCGACAGGATGTAGCTGGGGCCATTGCCGCCCAGCAGGAAGCCGAACTCCTCAGGCCAGCCCTGGTTGGACGACGGCATGCTGAGGACTTAAAGGGGGGGAGAAAATATGTAAGATAGGAGAGTCCTCACTCATGATCCAAGGACTTTCCAAGGGTCTTGCACTGGCTATACTGCGGACAAAAGCTATGAAATGAAGAAAACCCACGCATAGACATTCAAACACAAGCACTTACCCACTTTGGCCAAAATATTCAAGTCAAATGACATTTTTTGATCAAATAATCCTTTGCTTGCATTCAAAGTGACTACGTTTTTGTCCCCGGTCTCTTCTCCCTCCTGCTGTCTTTCGCATCTCAAGATGTACTCATGAGTGCGGCTCTGTAACCCTCTACCCTGAACCATGACACACTCAGCGGTCCCTGACCTGGTTCACAAACTCCAAAGCAGCCAATCAAATTAAGTCATTGCAGGGATTGTGACCTTAATTAGCTTTAGAGACAAAAGTTCCCGCAGCAATTCCATTTTTTTTAACTCCCTGCAAGTCAATCCTGTTGAATGACAATTATATAATAGAGCACACAACTGACAGCATGGATTTCAGAGCAGGTAAAAGGTAAAAAGTGGAATCAATAACATCAAATTGGCTTATATAGAGGCATTCTGAAATGTCAAAATGAGACATGGACAGTTCTCAAAAACATATCTAATATGACAAATACAGAATTACAGATATACACATGTTGGATTTTGTTAAATATGATTCAATATAAACCCCTCTGGCTCAGCTAATGTTGCTCCACAGCCATCACACAAAGCTGATAAAAGACTTACAGAAATCTTTAGATGGATACCGAGAACCCCGTCGGATAGAGTATCTGCCTTTTTTGTTTTGCAAAAACTTCTTCATCTTGAATGTCAAACAGCGGGCGGCCTGCTGGCAGCCAATCTGTCTCCTTAAATGTTATATCTTTAGAAAAAACCCAAGGACAAGTCAAACGGAAAGGGTGACAAACTCAAAACAATACCCCATTCTTCCACCCTGAAAACCACAGCAGTGTCCTCATAAGCAAAAGGTGAGTGTGCACGGGCAGCGAGTGCAATCTCTGTGCGAGTGTGTCAACGAATTAGTCCTGTTCCCTGATTCATCCTCGGGCCAGCCCGCCTGCACAGTGTTAATCAGAAAACTGGGACGCGTGCACCCAGGCACCTCGGTTCCTTCATAATTCTCTCTCCCAAACAGGGTATTGTGCGAGGCCTCATTTTTCTATAAATACACCAACATGTCTTTTTCCTCCTCCTGCTCTCTCGGCTAGGTGGCTCTCCGAGGGACCGCCCGTGGCCCAGAATCACTCTGAGTCGCTGCAGCCCAGCCTGATGAGGACTAATTGGAGCGTCTGCATGCCTGGGAATCTGTGCGTCCGTCCGTGTGTGAGCACAACGAAATGTGCCGTCCATTGAGAAGGAGGGGGGGCAATTTAAGACTTCAGCCTGTGGGATTAGTTGGATTATGAACTGAATCTTCAGTGCTCCTCCACCCCCCTGTCATTAATACTGAAGGAACACATGCTCCCCTCAAATAAAGAATGCAGACACTGACTAAAGTGGAAGCACACATTGTGAATATGACATTTATGACAAGTGACAGAAAGTACATAAAGTCTTTGAATCAGAACTATCTTTTTAAAGGGGCCCTAATATGGTTGTTGGGGTTGTGCCTTTCCTGTAGTGTGTTATATAGGTTTTTGTGCATGTTAATGGTCTGCAAGGGCTAAAATCCAATACCAATAACAGTACCCAATAATAAAGAGAACGGGTAAAGGCTGTAGACAATTAAAAAAATGGTGTGGCTGTAAAATCAACAATAGAAAAAATAATCATATAGTGAAAATACACAAAAGCTTGTCAATTACAATAAGAAGATGTCAATGTAATTTGTTAGCTTCACCCTTCAATATGAGAAACTACTGTATATAGTGCAGGATATTTGAAAAAAACATATTATTATGTATTTGATTGTATTTATGATTGATTGGGCACCTCAGATAAACTAATTGTATGACATATTATTTGTAGAGGGTGTGTCAATAAGAGCGGGTAACATGTTGCAGTCAGTAATACATTTATATGAGAAGTCATTACAGCTGATGAGAAAGTAGTGACTAAGTTATTGGAGTTCAAACTGTCATTAGTTGTAAAGCGTGCAATAAAGAACAGACAGTCCGGCTTCAACTGAATAATTCAACACAGATGCTGCTCGCTACAATCAAACTCCTCTTACATTACAGCGAAGACGTTTACTCACGTGTGACAAGACAGAAACTGACATATCACAGACAATCAACCCTGATAAACCCCCCTGTAATCAATTATTCTTCAGAGAAATCGTGAAGGGGTTTCAACGTATATACATTGTCCAATTATTGTTTGAAACATGAACATGACATTGATATAGCCTGATGTGTTTGCACGCGCGTTTGTTTACATGAGAATGTTAGCAACGTTTTAGCCAACGTGATGCTTTTAAGGAATTAATGAGTGTCATTTTGAGCCCAAAATATGTTTTTTATATAGTTTCCATTGTGTGGTTTTACTTTATTTATTCAAGATAGTATGTTATTTTGCTTGCACCAATTCGCAGGTCAAATGATCATTTTTCTTTTAAAATGTGTACTTGCTAAATGAATTTATGACAATAGTTGTAGTGATAATAGTAGTTATCATGACAGGCCTAATCATGTATACATTTAAGAATGTATCGGTTATCCTTTAGTCATGTTTTTAAATATTATAAACAAGGGACTTTAAATAAAATACATCTTCATTCGTCATAATTAAGGTGGAAAGCATTTAGAAAAAATGCATTGTGACCAAAAACACATCAAAATAAGAAACATATAATATTGTCCACACCTCACTACGGCCCACCAACACACCCTGTACCTTTTTAAACAGCATCCATAGATGTCCATGCAGAGCTCCAGAGTAAAGCTTTCCTGTCCGGCACCAAGAACTGTAATATGAGTGTTGTGCCATGTCAGCAACCAGACCCAACAGGTGTCCTGTGATGCCGTGTTGCATTGTGTGGAGCTCTGGAAGGCAATGACAGAGAAAAACAAGCCAAAGTAACTAATAGTCGGGAATTCAAGCATGCACTATAGCCAAAATGTTATAAAGGTATTCAAAAGGGTTAGATTTCAAGTCAAAATGGAAGGAAGTGTGTGCATTAAATAACCTTTAGCCTGTTTTTCATGTTTGAACTTTGTAGCAAATACATGCGTCAAAGTCAATGTTTCTCCTAATCATTGTCATTTGTCATTTTTGACTAAGATAGTGAATAAGTAATAGCTATAGTTTTAAAGTGTGGAAAAATAAGAGTCTTCAGGGAAAAGGCATATACAGTAAGATACCCTGAAATAAGTGACAGTGACAGTCTATTAATTATATAAATTACTTTTGAGCTTTAAAAAGTAATAGGAGGTTAAAGTAAGCATAGAACGTGTTAGGAATATGAATTAAGAAACCCCTTAATACAGGTGAAAGAAGTACTCTTCTTATTATTCACTTAAGTACAAGTAGCAATATACCACAGACTAAAAATACTGTTACAAGTAAAATTATTGCATTTAAAATTGTACTCAAGTAGAAGTAAAAAGTAGCATAGTACCAAAAGTACTCATTATGCAGAATGGCACATTTAAGATTTAACGTTTTAAATAATCACTCAAGGAAAGTACAAGTACCTTCATTTTTTACTTGAGTAAGTGTAGTTAGTTAAATTCCACCACTGCCCTTTAATATTTAGACAAACTTTACATTCATATCGAAATGGAGTTACAGTAGATACTCCCCCTCCTCCTGCAGCAGGTAAACCCAGCCAGCCCCTCAAACGTTAGCTTGGAATTTAGCTACATCGATGCTAAGGAAGTAGCATTGTTTACAGAGCACCAAAGGGGATGCTAGTGTCCATAGCGCTAACAAAAGAAGCTATGTTATCGTGAGATAAAACACTTACAGACAGCTATGTGTGACCAAGACTAAAAGGTGAAGGAAGAAGGTGAGTAAAGGACTTTAAGAGGTGAAGAAAGTGGGAATATCTATGCTAACGTTAGGTACTGATTTAGGTTAGCATGCTAACGTCAACTTGTCCATGTGGGTATTTTTAGGAGTGGTACATCATTTTGTTAAAAGTCGTGTTTACACAAGCAGATACACTGAATAGTAACACAACTTTTTGGTGAGTTTGCTACCTGTTCGTGTTGACTTTGCACCATTAACACCTGTTGTATTGTCTCTCTGAAGCCCCCAGGTGAGATGGATTTCCTCACCCTGTTCGCTGTCTACGTCACGGTGGTGCTGACATGTATAGTGTTAGTTTGCAAATACTCAGGCCAGCAGCAAACTCCATTTAGTATCCTCCTCAACTTTGTAGGAAAGGTAAGAGAAGATGCAGGTTGACTGTATTCCCATAAACTGACACTGTGTGGCACTGTTTGACTAATTTATAACAATATTAAAACATGATATTCACTGCAATTAAAGCTGACAAATATTCTCTGCACAGGTGTTTGCACCGATTACACCAAGATGGCTCCAGAAGTTTTCACAGAGGACCTTACACAGGCTGTTTCATCAAAGGTTTGTAGTTCAATTCCTTCGTTTTTTTTAAATAGATATCTTTTTGATTTAACTTTATATCACTTTTTTTATTTCCCTGTACAATACTACACACAATGTGTCTATGAAAAGTATAGATACATTTTATTTTCTCAATGTTTATCCAGTTTGGATCATCTCTGAATAAATCAAAAGGTGTTTATTGTGTATATAGTTTTTCATTTTCCTTTCATCCTTTGACTCTTGAGCTGCTCTGTGTAGAATAGTAGGCCTACATGCCCCCAATGTGGAATGAATAAAGGCTTTTTATTTAATCTTATATACCTGTAATATCATAGACAACAGTGTATATTTAGTTCCAGTTATACTCCTGCATATCTGCCTTCAATCTTTGTCATTTGCTTCTATTTGCAGGAACAACATGTTCATCTATCTGCACATCCTGATAGAGGCCGCTGTGTTTGCAGAGTTCACCTACGAGGTGTTTGGCTTCTGCAGGGATATGGACACCAGTCTGATCAGCCTGTCCGTGCCTTATATCCTGCTGGTTATCAAGAGTCTCTGCTTCTACCTCTGCATCAGGAGAGATCCAGGTTAATATTATACTAGCTTTCAAAGTAATTTGTTATTTGCTGCAATATTAGGAAATATTATACGAGACAGACGAGGGAGGTTAACCCTGGTGTGTTGAGGTGTGATATATTAATAACTCATATACTGTAAGCAATACGTTTGTGGTCTACATAGCATCAATCATTTTGCACTAAAACAGGCCTCATGTGAGTCCAAGTCTTGGGAATAACGGATCCGGCTAATGTGCCCTTTCCACTCTGGTTTGTTTGTAGCCTTTATTTAACCAGGTAAAATCCCATTGAGATCAACGATCTCTTTTTCAAGGGAGACCTGCAGCACATTGGTTACACATAAAAACAACAGAAAACAAAAAGGACATCATACAACATAATTACAGGGGTACAAATTACAACCTATTCACAATGACAGGTATCAAATAACATTTCATCCAGCCGCGCTTTAAAATGATGCAGGGGAACCAAAATGCTCAGTTTAAATTTGTTTGCATAGTGTTCCAAGCTAGAGGAGCAGCGCACATAAAAGCTTTAGTACCTAAAACAGTCCTAGCACTTGGCACATGTAATAAAAACACATCCTGGGATCTCAGGCAATAGCTACTTGCCACTCTCTTTGAGATCAAAGAGCATATATAAGTTGGTAGTTTACCCAACATGGCTTTATAGATAAACATGTACCAATGACTAAGCCTCCGTACAGTTAGTGAAGGCAGACCTGCCTTGGCATACAGGGTACAGTGATGAGTAAGTACTTTACAGTTAGTAACAAATCTCAGCGCACTGTGATAGGCGGCATCTAACTTGAGCAGGTAATGGGCAGGTGCATTCATATAGATCAGATCACCATAGTCCAGCACTGGTAAAAAGGTCACAGAGACTAGCCTTTTCCTGGCCTCAAGTGAGAAACAGGACTTGTTTCTGAAAAAGAAACTTAGCTTCACCCTCAGCTTTCTAAGCAGATTATTGACATGAAGTTTAAAAGAGAGGCAATCATCAAGCCAGATACCAAGGTATTTGTAACAGGCAACCACTTGTAGTACTTGTCCTTGCGTTAGTAACAATATCCAAAGTGGTCTCCGGTGTCTTTTTGGCTTTTGAAAATAGCATTACCTTAGTTTTATCAACATTTAAAAGACGCTTAAGCTCAGCGAGCTGAGTCTGAATAATATTAAAAACAGCCTGTAATTTAACAACAGCCTCCTTAATGGAGGGACCTGCACAATACATCACGGTATCGTCCGCATTAAAATGTAAAGTTGCTTCATCCACATTTTGACCTAAGCTGTTGATGTAGATGGAGAATAAAAGTGGACCTAAAACATTTGAAATGTTTACTCATAAGACAGCCCATCAAAATGAACACATTGCGCCCTTTCAGAGAGGTAGTTCACAAACCACCCCACTGCATGGCTGGATATGCCAATACTGGCCAGCCTCTGCTTTAAGATGCGATGATCGACGGTATCAAACGCTTTAGAAAGATCAATAAACAGAGCTGCATAACTCTGCTTTTTGTCTAAGATACCCGCAATATCATTCACCACTTTCATTGTCGCAGTGATGGTGCTATGTTGCTTTCTGAAGCCTGACTGATGTTTACATAGGATGTCATTTTTACATAAAAACACCTGTACCTGCTCAGACACTAGGCGTTCAAGAACCTTGGCCAGAACTGATCATTTAGAGATGGGCCTATAATTATTTAATAAAGTGGCCTCCCCACCTTTTGGTAGAGGAAGGACATAAGCTGACTTCCATATTCTTTGGAATTGTGTTTGTGCTGAGGGAGAGGTTAAAAAGAGAAGTAAGAGGTGGTGCAATAAAATCTGCAGCTATCTTTAAAAAGAAAGGTTCTACGTTGTCCGGACCGGCCGGTTTCTTAGGATCTAACTTGGTTAAGGCTTCATGAACGGCTTCAATAGAAAAAGGGAGAAAAACTGAAGGGGTTTTCCAAAACACGTTTTTCAGAGTCACAGACTGTGGTGTTCACAGCAGCAGAGTTAGTAGCTGAACAGTAACTGAACAGTGTCTGTTTTGTTCTTGGCACCAACCTAAAGCATCTGTCTTTTCATATGAGAAATGTTGTGTTGTTTGCATGCGTACTCCTGTTACATTTGCTGCTCAATTCCCTACAACGATCATTTAGTCTAAAAAAAAGCAATATTAGTCCATATTACTACTGGTTATACAGCCATGTGGATTGAGGGTGTGCATGAAATTAAGTATTAATTGGTAATTATTCATTTATATGACTCCAGTTAATTCAAAGTAGATACTTTCAGCCGTTTTGCAATAATGTGCAGAGATATCAATTTGTTCGTTTTGGAGAGATTTTTTGCCTTTTATTTTGCAGTTATATTTTTCTCTCCTCTCAACCTTGGCAGGCACAGTGACGAAGAAGAAAATCGCCAGCCAGCTGCACATCTATCCGTATGACAGGAGGCTGTTTCACCCGGGCGTCTCCTGTGAAACCTGCAAGCTCGTCAAACCGGCTCGCTCCAAACACTGCAGTGAGAACAGAAATATGAACAGGCAGCATAGTTAACATTGTAATGCATTATATTTGCAAAGCTTAGAATACAGAATCATACTCACTGTCTGTGTTTCAGGGGTCTGCAACAGGTGTGTTCAACGCTTTGACCACCACTGCGTCTGGGTGAACAACTGCATCGGTGCTCAGAACACACGCTACTTCCTGCTTTACCTCTTCAGCGTGTGCGTCGCGGCGGGCGATATGGCCGTTCTAACAGGAGACATGCTGCTTCACGCCGTCCTGAGGTCAGGGCTCCTGAGGGCCAGTTATATAGACGAGGAAGGCCAGCAGCAGTCAGCAGGGCCTCTGTTTGTTGTGCAGGTGAGACTCCATACTGCTGACATACTGCATGTCGCGGCTACCTTTCTTTAACCTCAAGACACGTAATACCTTTTGTCAGGGAATCATTTCGCCCTACATGTTTACCTTTCGCCCTCTGACGCAGCTGACCAACCTTGAGCAGCCGTTATCTCCCATAAGGAGGGGCTGCCCTAGCAAGTTGTTGTTCTTACCAGTTTATGACCGGGCAACTCTCTGTCAGAGATAGTTATTGTTGTGGGACACCTGGAACACATCCTTCTCGGGGTGTAGATGACCCCGAGCCATAAGCGACAACAAATGTGATTCAGTGTCCTCGGCTGTTTAGTCTATCTATTGAAGAATGTTGATTATTACTCTGAACTAGTTAAAACCTCGAGCTACAGGAAGGCTCTTCAGAATTAATTGTGGCATCTCAACCGTGTGAAGCTCCAAATAAACCGTCAGTGTTTGCCATCAAAGCTCCAGCTCTCCTCGTGTCTCTCTGAGTCCTGACTCCCATTGCTTCAGAAGTTTCCCCCACACCTTTCAGAATCAGAATACCTTTATTAGATCCACAGAGGCGAAATTTACATTGTTACAGCCGAAAAGAGCCAAAGACAGCTTAATGTTACCTAAAGCATACATAAAAAAGTATTAAAGATTTTTTTTTTTTAAAGAAATTAGAATCAAAAAAGTTACACATTTTACAAAATACACATCTCTCTTTCTGCAGCATCTGTTCCTGACCTTCCCCCGAATCGTCTTCATGTTGGGATTTCTGGTCTTTGTCTTCTTCCTCCTCGCTGGTTATGCTCTTTTCCATTCCTACCTGGCTCTCGTGAACCAGACCTCCAACGAGTGGTACAAAAGTCGAGGTTACGTGTGTCAGCACTGCCACCCGACTGCAACCGCTGACCATCTCTGCAGCCCGGCACCAGACCACTCTAAAAGAAACTACTACAGCAGAGGAATACTCCGAAACCTGGGAGAAATCTTCTTCCCTCCACATCCTGTTCACAAAAAAGACAACTAAAAGAAATTACTAGTCTGTGTTGTTATGCTGCATTTTTTGTACACCCCCTGGGGTCACTGTGCCTAAGAACTACTGCTGAATGAAAGAATAAAGTTTACGGTAGCAATTTCTTTACGAGCTCTGGTGTCTACCTCCCACACAATGTATTGTATTAATAAGCTCTGGCAACATTTACAGCAAACACAAAAGTAATTAGATATTTTGACTGCCAATTTAGAACATATTTTGTCATTCTTGTTCTGCCATTGACTAAAGTGTGAATGCTTCAAAAGCTGGAGCATATGTCCTGCCATTGTAATTGTTCAATATTTGTTAAAGGCATTACGAATCTGATTTTTAATGTTGTGTACTTATTGTGAACTTTATATATTTTGCATCCAAGTGGGATTTGAACACTTTTCCTAAAGACTAATGGGAGCTGTAGTTTGATGCTAAGAAGGGACAGTGTGCTTGGCTTTTTTGTTGAAGCACTTTTGTAGTTTTGAATACGCAGTTATTATGTAACATATTTCATTAATTGTGTTATTATTTTGAAAAGACACATATGTGTTGTGGGCAGGGCATTAGCTTGACCGGAAGTGCAGTTGTTTGGGTGTTGTTCTGTACCTGGCTTCTTTTTTTAATTCTTTGTAGCCTAGAATCAAAGCTTAGAATACGACGTGATTATGATATAATGTATTTAATGTATTTAATATTTGTTCTTGCATATTTAAAAAAAAAAAGCATGTTGTAAACAGTAAATGAGCTTAACCGGAAGGGAACTGTATGTGTTCCTTTCCCTTTAAGCCGGTGCGGAAGTAACCTCAGAATTGCTTCAACACTTTTACACCGAAGTGGAAGGTCAGGATTGTGTCAGCGACGTATCTCAACAAACTTATTTAAACAACAAAACTACCATTAACACAAAACTGGACGTAACTACAAACAGTAGTGCTGACATTAGCGACAAACCGTGACGTTGCGCGGTAGGGAACACGAAGTGTTGTAACGGCTATATAACGATTAAACAGTTATTGTATTTGTTTAGGCTGACAACACGTTACGGCTATTTAACTGTCGAACAGTTATTCATATTTGAACCTGAAATCACGTCTCTTGTTTACCCTAATGTCTGGGTCAAAATGTACCCGGTTAACCGGAGCTCTGGTGAAGCCGGTGCTGGACTCGGTGGACAGCGTCCTGTTTGACTGCGACGGGGTCATCTGGCGGGGGGACCAGGCTATCCCGGGAGCCTCTCAGGTCATAAACCTGCTGAAGGAAAGCGGCAAGAAGGTGTTCTTCGTCACCAACAACAGCACCAAGACCAGGAAGATGTACGCGGAGAAAATGACCACAATGGGGTTTAATGCGACCGAAGAGGAGGTGTTCGGGACGGCGTACTGTTCAGCTATGTACCTGAAGAATGAGTGCAAACTGGAGGGTAAAAAGGTGTACCTGATCGGAAGTAACGCGATGAGAGACGAGCTGCAGGCGGTGGGGATCCAGCAGACCGGGGTGGGAGAGGACCATATATCCGGGAAGCAGATAGACTGGGCCAACGTGGACCTGAACCCCGAGGTGAAGGCGGTGGTGGTCGGGTTCGATGAGCACTTCAGCTACACGAAGCTGAACAGAGCCCTGCAGTACCTGATCCAGCAGCCTGGGTGTCTGTTTGTGGGGACCAACAGGGACTCCAGGCTGCCCCTGGAGGGAGGCAAGGCCGTGCCAGGTAGGGATCTTCTGCACAGAAACTTATGGTGAAATATAAGGCCTCAATTGTGTGTCAGGTCATGAAAAAAAATCTGATAGTAGGCTACTAGCACTAGGCACTGGATACACACACACATATTATAGGGGGTTAAAGCAGGTTAAATCACTGCAGCACACATTAACAATAGTTAGTGGATCTTCTGCACACATCACTTAAACTGTTGGGGAAATATAAAGCTTACATTTTAGGCCAGGTCATGAAAAAAATCTGATAGTTCTTGTTTACAAGTACAAGCATGCCCAACTATTACATCTGCAGGGCCAGAGACCTGAGGCTATAACAACAACAAAAAGCATGCACTAAATTGTGCATAACATGCTCAATACAAAGTCAGACTTTAACTGTATAACATGTGACAGATAATAAGTATTAGGTCTACTTCCTGGAAAGACATGTCTTAAACTCACGTGCATCTCACCTGTCTGGATTTCTAAGCTCCACCCATCCAAAATGCTATGAGGGATCATTATAATTTAAAGCGAGGGGGAGTGTGTGGGAGAGAAACTCTTACATGCACAAAACCCATATAGGGGAACATCCCAAAGTGCATAGTAGGGCCCCTTTTAATCTAACTTGCCTAAAGCTGTAGGAGCTAGATTGAGTTAAAGTGTCCTCACTACTCCTCTTCCTCTCAGGTACCGGCTGCCTCCTGCAGGCCGTGGAGACCGCCGCCCAGCGCCAGGCCCAGACGGTGGGCAAACCCAACCGGTACATGTTCGACTGCGTGGCCTCCCAGTTCGGAGTGGACCCCGGCCGCTGCCTGATGGTGGGCGACCGCCTCGACACGGACATCATGCTGGGCTCCAACTGCGGCCTGAAGACCCTCCTCACCCTCACGGGGGTCAGCACGGTGGAGGACGCCGAGGCCCATCAGAAGAGCGGCTGTGCGGAGAGGCAAGGGATGGTGCCGGATTATTACGTGGAGAGCATCGCTGACCTGCTGCCCGCTCTGCAGGGATGAACCTGGACTGAAAGACTCCATTACTCACCAAAAGGGAATCTTTTTCCTTAAGATATATATGATTAAAATCTAGTACAAAGTTTATTAAGATATACATAATTTATCTATTTTGGAAATGTCAAAGCCTGCCAATTTAACATGGTATTAATGATTGTTTATAACATAAGAACAAGGATTCACAGTGTTGTGTATATCTTCCGTTCCTGGGGAAAAGGGGAAGAGAAAGTGTACTTTAAAGACTGTCTGTGATGCAAGTCAAGCTCGAGGAGGATGAGCACATAATATAATGTGTTGTAACATGTTTTGTTCAGGTTTACAGCTGTTTTAACGTCTATAAATAACAAGCACTGAGTCTACGTGTCTGACTTGAACCTTCTGTGTATTATAACCTTTATTTTCACACCTCAGCAGAAAATAAAAAAAGCACTGCAGATACATTAATGGGAGTAAGTCACAGTGTTTCATTCATGTTTTAAAGTGAACCAGGTCTTCCTTTTTACTTCTTGTGCTCTCTAACTTGTCCCTGAATAGCTGCTCAAATCCGTAATAAAGCTGAAATTATATTGACTAAATAAACGTCTGCTCGCTGTGGCTTTTTACCTCAAAGTGAACACCGAAAACCTCCCGTGCTTAAAGTCACCTTGGCCTGTCGTCGTCTGGATGCAGCAGCGATATCGCCTCTCACCTGATGAGAGAGGATTTCAACCTGCACCTGCCTCACCCCTTTGTCCATTGTCTGAGCCGGGGAGGGCGGCCAACTCCTCTCCTGTAAGTGTGTGTTTGAGTGAGGGGGGGACAGGATCATGTTAGAGAGGCATATTAAGTCATATTAGATATATAGAAAGGGAGGAAATAGCAGGAAGACAAGACTCCAAATGTGAGTTTGGCAGGTTCAGAGTTTTGTGTGAAGTGGGATTTGGGAGTGTGACTGGAGGAGGAGGAGGAGGAGGAGGAAGGGGGAGGTCTGCAGGGACAAAGAGAAGCTGGCCAGGTGTACTGAGTCTCAGTCATGACCACAGCTGCATGCCGGTAGCTAAGAGAAGGGAGCTGACCCAGTGAGGAGCCGTCAAGGGACTCAGGATGTTGAGGTGTTGGAAACATTCGGAAAACCGTTTGGAAGATGCAGAGTGCACGGTAAGGAATATACTTTCATTTAAAAAGCAACCACCACCGACTGTGGAAAGATGGTGATGGCGAGGCATGTTTGGATTTTGCGTACCTGCACATTTAGCTAATTTTGCCACAGGTAAAAGATACATGACAGGATGAGACTTACAGATATAGCTTTACAGACAGTTCATGTTGTTCTCCTACCTGTTGTGCAATATATACATTTATATATCTAGACTATTTTGTGAGAGTAAGTTAAGTGGGATTTCTGCTTTCTCTCAAATATAATGCAGGGGACACTCTGTTGTGCAGAACAACTCAAAAGAAATAATCATGACCACGTTAACTCAAAGAATACCTTCTACCTATTTTCTGTATTTTCTTGGAGGAAAAGTGCATCTACTCATGAAACACGAGTGTCGTTCTCACTCTTTGGTATGTGTTGTACAGTGAAAATCAAAATAAGTCCAATATGGTTTTAGGATCTTCTTGAGAATCCTGGTCATGATTTTTAGAAAGATATCTTCTAACGCCTTAAGCATCGAAAGCCAAGTGCCATCAAGAGCTATTATATTGGAGAGAAGGCAGACATGTACAACCTGTATTTCCAACTAAGCAACAAAACAATCTAGTTTGACGAATAACATTTTAGGTAAGAGATTTGAGTGAACTGTCCCTTTAAGTAGAAATCTCAACAGCAGCAGTGTTCCCACCCTGCTGCAGTTTGTTTACATCCAATAATGAGATTTGAAGTACTGTGTAAATAGCTTCTCCTTGTGTGTGTAAACCTGTCTTCAGGATGAGGGCTCTGCTGCGTCCCCTCAGTCCCACTTCCCACACAAGGCCTTCTGGGTAAGCTTCTCAGCGTCCCTGCTCCTGGTCATCATCGCCCTCGCTCTGACGGGGCACCTGGGGCTGTCGCAGCCTCCTGCAGAGGTAACATGACGATCGATAAACCCTCAGGCATCATTTCTAGACCTTATTGTCTTTCATGAATCAGTGTGTGTTTGTAAGTCTTTACAGTTGGTCCGGATCACAGCTTCAGATCAGACCGGACTTCTGATCAACCAATCGGCCGTCGTTGACTTGCAAAATGACCTGGTGACCTTTTCCATCACCTCACCTGCAAATCAGACGTCCACTGTGCTCTTTGATATCAAACATGTAGGGGATATGCATGAGATTTGGTTGGTTTTAATGGTAGTTTTGATAGAAAGCGCGCCTGAGTTTTCTGACTAATGGGAAGATGTCTTGCCATTGTGTTTCAGGGTTTGATATGTTACAAACCCATGGACCAGGAGAGCTGCTTCCTGCGAAAGATGGAGGAATCTGACTATAAAAACGTGCACTCCCTCCTCCAGGAGTCTACACACAAGGTATTTCTACATGTGAGAGCTGAACGCCGATTTGAAACAATAGGGTTTGTCCTTCAGTGCCTTCAGGACACATGAAACCACACAACTTGGGATGAAAAATGCACCTTTTAGTTCTGCCGTTTGTGAAGTCGCCGCCTCACTAATGTGTGAACTGACCTTTCTGTCAGTGACTCACAGTTGTATCTGAGCCAGGACCTGCTGGGTTTCATAGCTCCGTGCCGCTCTGAAGCTTTAAGGTTGCATATGAACAGCCGTATAGTCTCCCTCTCTCACCTCCACGGCTGAATTCCTCGGCACATCTGATCCCTGCAGGCACATCTGATCCCTGCAGGTCCCCTCGGCTGCTCGGGATCTTCTTACAGGCGGCTCCAGCAGATAGCCTGAGCCGTGGAGAGGGCACAATGGCAGCTCTGTGTGAGGGCTTTTTAGCTTTTAAGACTGTTCTGTTGGATTCAAATACAGAGTGATGCATGGTTAGTGAGGGACCGGCCTGAGTGCGTCTGCTCTGTGGCAAATACCTGGTTCTCTAATAGGTATTTGGTTCTGAATTTAAGGGAGCGATGCAGGAAAGTAGGGAAATATTTTAACTTATAGATGCCACCATGAAGCTTTACCAAAAGAGCACTTAAAATATATTTACAACACGTAAATATAGGCTGCATATGAGGCCATTTCTTATTAAGTATGTGCATACTTGATTTTGTTTACATATTTAAGCCAAAGGTTTTAACAACGGCAACGTTAGATACTTATAAAAACAACTCCTAAATCAGAAAATATAACAACAGCTTTAGAACAAATCTATTGTCGCCACGTTTTAAGGATTTAAATGTTACATAATCAAGATAATAGACATACAAAGTACTCGTTTAAATTCAGTTTGTATGGCTAGAAATGAAATTGGACGTTTGTTGTAATGTAAGTGTTACTGAAGTGAAGATTTCTGGAGCAAAAAAAATTTTTTTTGAGAAAAATGATTTCTTACATTAACACAATCATTTTTTGTGTTACAAGTTTCATGAAATGTTATCTTCAAATATGTAAATGATGCTTTTTTTTAAATTTGTTTAGGAGAAATCTACAATAGCAAATAGACAGTATAGTTAAATATCAACACCTTGAAATGTGTTTTTGAGGTTTTCTTTCCACAAGTCAAAAACAATTTGACCTTGCAGGTAATCCAAGATGACTGAGTTCATCCTCTTTTTGCACAATAGCATAATTTCCACCTTTAGTTGAGTCTCCGAGCATCTTTTCTGATCCCCTCTCATGGTGTCACGTATCTCATACAGCTCCTCACTGCTGTCATTCAATCTATGATGGGAGGGGGCCCCTTATGGATGGAGAGTAAACGCTCTCTGTCTCTATTCTGCAGCACAAAGGTCTTTTTCAGCAGAGGAGAGCTGGAGGTTACGTGACCCACTCGAGCATAAGAGCACTTTAAGTGGTTCGCTATCAGAGCTTATCAAAGGTGTAAGTGTTGCAATTACACACTGCCTTTGTGACTAATAAGAACGCAAATGTGTGTGTTGACCTCATCAGAGCAGATATCAGGCTAATAGCAACTCCAGTTTCAATCTTATTTATTCATTCTTACTTTGTCACTGTGAGTTGAATATGATTTCTCACCCTTATTAAATGACCCTGCAGCTCCAGACAGACACTCCTGGGTCTTCTGTTGAGATGTTGTGATTTGTCCTCAGCAGGGTCAGATCCAGCTGTCCAGGAATGAGACCCAGAGGCAGAGGGAGTTCCTAGGGGTGTTGGCAGGCAGTCCGGTGGACGTGTCCACGCTGGAGGGGCCTCTGCAGACTCTGTGTCAGCACAGCTCCGTCCACTGGACCAGGAGGGTCGACGGTGAGGACGGCAACACTTTATCTAGAGAGGAATGCTTTGACGTAAAACTCAAATGGTTAAATAAAAAATTGTAAACACTCTTGAATCACCAGCCTGGTTATAAAGTATCTGGGAGCCACACCATAGCACTGGGTGGCCTTTAGTGGCATGAATATTGACACTGTATGCAAAGAACCCTCTTCTGTTCATTTTCAGGTGTATATCAGTATGTAGTGTCTCTACTGGGACATGTCTCCATGCTTTAAGGTTAAAAAAGCTCTTTATTGTTCTCATACTGCCTGTGCTGCAGCACCTCTTTTCACCCTCTGTCTGAAACCAGAGCCCAGTCTGCTCTGATTGGTTAGCTGGCCGGCTCTGTTGTGATTGCTCAACCGCTTAGAGATGTCCCGCCGCTTAGCCTATCACTTACAATGTGTTGGAGCGTTAGCCAATAGAAGCGCGAGTTTTACAGAGTGATGTCACTATGTTACAGAAGTAAACAAATGAGTCGGGGGGGGAAGTGTGTGAGAGAAACTCCCTCTGGAGGGAACACAGGGATTTTAGCCTTTGCAGACCATTTACATGCACAAAATCCTATTTAACACACTACAGGAAAGGGACAACTCCAACAATAAGGCCCCTTTAAAGTAAGGCTCAAGAGTTAAACATCACTAAAGAAGGAATGGTCATATCAGCAGAGGTTCTGGATGTGTTTGTCAGAACCACAGAAGCAGCATGAAGGGAGCTTTTAAAAAGCGCCAGCTGGCAGCTCCATAGAGACCTCCTGAAAACTGAGACATCCAGTGACCTTTCCACTGTGGCAGTCAGTGATAGGCTGAAAAATCTTCACTCAACCAACATATGTTCTGCTAACAGAAGTACAACTATTATTCAGGCTGCTTTTAAACAATATTTGGTCTCTACATTTGTAAAAAAAAAAAAAATGCTTTTTATCTCTTTTTAGTGTTTAATTATCTGATGTAGATATTGTTTAATTTGTTTTGATTTGTTATGGCTAAAAAACGGAGAATACATTGTGCTTTACCCAGAACAAAAACCCCCTTTTTTTATATTTAAGTTCCTTATTCATGCCTTTAAGTTGTGACAGATCATTAGTCAATGCATGTGTTTTCTGCATTACAATTTGGGTAATTGTTACAGTTTAAGAGGTTAATAATCTTCATTTAGGAATTTTTAGGGCTGGCTTTTGGATCCTTTACATCACATGTGTCAAACTCAAGGCCCGGGGGCCAAATCAGGCCATTGGTGGATTTAATTTCGGCCCGCAGGATAATTTCTAATTACTATTAGATCTAGCCCGCCGGTATATTGCACGCACACCTTCACTCAATCCTGAGGGTCTCCTCAGCTCAGAGCCTGACCCCAAACATTGATGAACTTGCACCCAAGATGAGATGCCAAGTATCTGGCTTGAGCTAGCATCACAGAGCAGCACACTGAGTTTACATGGATGTTTCCTTCTGCACTTTTTCTCTCACGACAACAGGGCATGTTTGGTTTTTTCTTTGAGGGAAATAGTTTTGTTGAAGCTGTTGTTGGCCTGTGGAAAAATGTGATCATAAGAAATGACTCTGGAAAAGCTGCAGATAGAGCCATAAGAAATGAATGCAACTGATTATTTAATGTTTAATGTTGTTTTTATAGGCAATCATTGAAGCTTTGTTAGTTCCAGGTTTAATATGTGCAATAAGTTCATTTCAATAAGTTTTGCAATAAACATTGAACCAGTCCGGCCCTCGACTAGTACCCATTTTTTTAATGTTGGCCCACTGTGTATTTGAGTTTGACTACTATTCAACAGTAATGCCATGTTGTCTCCTTAATGATGACCTGTATCTTCTGTAGTCACCAATGTCTCTGTCTGGTTTTAGGCCCGGGGAATCAGAGGCTGGTCTACTTCTGCATCGACATCTGCTTCCCCAGCAACATCTGCGTGTCTGTGTGCTTCTACTACCTGCCAGAGTGAAGATCGGGGAGACAAAGTTGTCTTTTTAGCTCCTTCTACAAGAAAAAAAAAAAAAAAATACAGAACAAAAGCCAGCTTTGACTGTTTCCTCTGTGCCATAGACGCTAGAAACCCAGTGAAGCAGCCCAACCCGACAGAGCCTTCCCGACAGAGAGAAGATGGAGACAGGCTGTCAGGTAATCGCCAAAGCCCCGTCGTCACTCTCTTCATGAGTAATACCGTCTCTGCTGGGACACTTTGGAGATTACAGAAGAAAGATCCCCCTTTTTTTGCCTCCAATTGTATTTCCTGTAATCCACTGCTGCAGTATAATTATGCGTAACCGTTCCAGAGTGTTTTCACCTGTTCAATAAAAGACTGTTGTGTATTTGCGGCCAATTCTGTCTTCATTTGACTAAAGAAATAAGACTTTGAACAACTTTGAACAACTTCTTTACTGCAGAATCATTTCCTGTACATTTGATATCTCCCTAATCCACATTAAGAATGGTACAAGTCGTCTTTGAGTTAAGAGTATCAATGGAATTCACATGTGAGGAATACATCTATTCCAAGTTGCTGTAAAACTTGGTCCTTTTTATAACATAAATATGGTGCACCATTATAACAACTCAGAGTAATGAGGTTAAAAACATAGAGTGCTGCTGATTAATGCTAACATAGTGTATTTTAATCAGACTTACCACTTTCTACACGGTACAGAAGTGCTCCCGTGCATAATCTTTGAACTCCTGCAAAATGGTGTGCTTGATGGATTTGGACTCTATGAATGGACTTCTTAAAAAGACTTACGGGCATTTGGCAAGAAAGAGCAGTGTGGAAAACTTGGAACACAGCTGAGATTCATCGTAATGTTCAAACACAAGCCTCCACTTTCTCAAGGTGATCATCTCTGGGAACATTTGGTAATAATTCCCAATTGAGTCCATTGCTTTTTCTGTTATTCTTCCCTATTGTGCTAGCTCCTCCTCCTCCTCCTCTTCTTCATCTTCTTCATCAGCCCAGCACGCTGTCATTAAAGGCCAGACACGTCACGGCCTTCTGGTGTCCGCTGTACTCCCTCTTGATCTCCCCGGTCTCTACGCACCACAGACGAGCCAGGTTATCTGAAGAGGCTGTGGATGCAAACAGAAACAAGATGGAAACTACATTCGTAGAAATTGTAAATACACATTTTAATATTATCACTTTTTTCTGAAAAGGCTATAAAAGTCACTTCCTCTGTGCTTTAATAAGATAAAGATCAAATGTACGTTATTAATCCCAATCTGTGATTTGTGTTGTTGTTGTTGCAGCAGCATAAAACAAAACAAGGCTTTGCACGTAATAACAAATTAGGGTCGTAATAAACAATTCTAAAATATAAACATCTCAAAATAGAAATAGAAATAAAGCAGCATTAGAGAGTAAGAACATTATACAGATGACCGTGAAGATAACAAATCTATAAACTGACTGACAAATAAAAACACTATTGAAGGTAATATATAATTAAACAGTGTTTAAAGATGTGTTGGATCAAATGTGGCAAGACAAGGGGAGAATAGAAATGAGGAGACGTGTGGGATGTCATCAAAGTGCCCAAATGGCTCTAGGACTGCGGGAGTGTCCTGATTTGATTTTCACAAGGCTAAGGTTCTTTCAAAAGTGGCATTAGTCAAGTTTTTTGATAAAAGGTACTGACCAGTGACGATATACTGGGAGTCTCCGGAGAAGGCGCAGTCCCACATCCAGCCTCGGGACGTCTCCCCGGGGTTGTTGCTCTTGATGCTCAGCTCTGTCATCAGAGAGAAGTTAGACGTCCTCCAGATCTTACAGGTCTGGTCCGCTGAGCAGGTGGCTAACAGACTGGAGGGGATTAAAAAATATACAAATATGTGTTTGATCAGCAGGGACAATCAGAGAAAGATGTACAGTGTGTAAAGTAAGGAGGAGGGCACTCACGTGGAATCAGGGCTGAACTTGCAGCGCAGGGCGTAGCGTTTGTGTGCCGGGATCTTGGTTTTGGGGATGAGCTGCGTCACCTCGTCTCCTGCCCCTCCAGCCAGGTTCCACACATAACAGTTTCCCTGTTAGAGAAAATAAGAGACCTTTAATATACAGTATCCTCAAGGAGCTTCAAGGGGGCAGAAGCAAAACACAATATAGCCAACACCAAAAAGAAGTGCTATATTTTGAATATTTCCTATTTTCTTTGAAGACAGCATAGGTGGATATAAAGGCTTGCAAATGCATGACTGACAGCAAGGTAAGGTGCTGAAAACATGTAGCAAATATAGCAAACATTTCATACTGATATTGACTTTTTTTTTCTTTTAATTGGCTTCTGTGCCAGTACTCCCGTCTGCTTTTCAGAACTAGGGGCGTACCAATGGCGATGAACTGTAGGTGGCCTATCCTTTTAACATACCAATGTATCAAAACACAGCGCCATTTGCTGACTTTCTGAGTACTGACCGAGCTGTTGACCGCTGCCATGTAACTGGCATCCGGGTCGATGTGAACGGAGTTAATGGAGACCTCTGGCTCAGGAATCAGCTGTTCGTTGTGGTCCGTCTTCAGATCCCAGATATGAATCACTCCACTCTGATCGCCAACAATCAACTCTGCCTGAAAAATGTAACAACTCATGGTTTAATGCAAGTCTTTTCAGCATAAACTCTTAACTGTCTTACAATAATATATAAACAAATGCATATCCTAGACTGTAATTGATGTCTCACCTGGTTGGGATGCAGGCACACACAGTTGATTGGAGCGTTGACCTGGAATATCCTCTGACACTGCAGATTTCTTGACCTGGAGGGAGCATAAGGGATTAAAGTAAGGTTTTTTTAACACAGAGTGAATTTCCTTTAGCACAATGAGCTTCCTCTATAGTACCTAAGGTCCCATATGCGAGCCATGCAGTCCTCTCCTCCCGTGTACATCCAGCGTCCGTCCTCATGGAAACCCACAGACGTGATGTTCTTGCTCACGCCGTCGTAGTTTATCACAGGGTTTGGGTTGTTGGAGTTCAGGTCGTACATGCGGATGTGCTGATAACCTATTAACACAGAGTGGAATTTACTTATTAAAGGAGATATTCACTTAAATATATAATGCAGAAGACAGTTTGAGAATAATGTTGACCAACCTGCTGCTGCAATCATACTCCTGTCAGGTGTCACCTCAAGGGAATTTACTTGCTGGGAGCAATCGTTAAGAAAAGGTGCACTTTGAATTGCCTTGTGTTGGAAGGTGCTATATAAATAAACTTGACTTGACTTGCCTTGCCTTGCCTTGCCTTGCCTTGCCTTGCCTTGCCTTGCCTTGCCTTGCCTTGCCTTACAACCCAATCCAGTGATAAAGGCAAGAATACACAAACATTACAATTAAAAATATTTGGAGTAGATCTATACGATTCGAGATAATAAAACTTGTTATGGAATGACCCACATGTGTTTGTGTAATATGCATTCTGTACACAATCACCCTCATGTCACAGTAAAAGCACACTGTTGCTCTCAGTCACGGTAAGGATACAGAGTCCTGGTGCTGGACCGTCCTGGTGCAGATGCCGCTGTGCGCCTGCCAGAAGCGGACGGTGTGGTCGTATCCAGCCGTGGCCAGAATGACCGGGTCGCTGCCCACCGTGCCCGCGTTCACATTCATCTCTTCTGCTGCTGCTGCTGCCTGTCACTGCTCACAGAGGGAGGTAAGATTCAAGAGTTCAAAGGTTATATTGTAATATGCACAGCAGCTATAGTGTAGTTGTTGGGAAAATACTGAATGTACTCTTTCAATATCAGAGTAGCACATGATAACAAAAGCCCTACGTAGCTGTGTACATAACAGGATGTATGATTACCTAGAAGAGCGTCAGGACTGTTTTAGGCATATGATAGCTATGTGATTAACATGATGATTCAGCCTCTATGGAGATAGACATATGACAAGCATGATCATTTCTGACATGGAGCTAATCTGAACTAAACATTGAATACTGCTTTATATTCCTCCATCTTGGGACTGTGTAACTCCCTCTCTTGTATATCAGCATGTGAAGGACACTGTTCAGGAACTAGTTGTACCAAATGCTCTGTATGTGATGACTACTTCCATTCTTGAGAGGATCATAAATACATGGATCCTGAGATTGAAGACCAAGCCGGTGATGAGTGATATTTTTCTAACACTAGTTATGGCAATGAAAGTCCCAGGCTCCTCCAACAATGAATTGTAAATATATATAAAAGACGTACAATTGTGCAAAAAGAAACCAAATGGAAATAAAATACTGCAAGAGAATGTTGCAGGAGAAGTACACGATAAACATTTATTAATAGAATAAGATGAGCTCCAAACAGAATGTAAAATGTAATACTGTACAGGAATAAAACTGTTTGGATGGTAAATTGTAGTTTGGCAATTAACACCTTCAGACCCAGACTCCTCCAATTGTGCAACATGCAATATACTTAAGACATAAAAACAAGTAATACAATACTTTACTGTAATATAAATGAATATGTGAAATGCAAACAGAGGCATGAATAAAACTGCGTGGAGATATAAGACACAGTCAGCTGCTGCAGATTTCTGTCTCTTTAATGGTTACTTTAAACAGAAAGGTAGTTTAATGAAGTGCAATACTGTGGGAATAATACATTTAACTTGTGACATGCATGCTAACGTTAGCATAGCTAGTTGTTAAGGGTCATTGCAATGAAGGCAGTTAGGTAACAGCTATATTTCAACAGCTAAAACATTGTGACCTATTTCACTGTGTGATATTATTTGTGATAATTTATACTATCTTACAGAATAAAATGTAAGTTTTTATTACCTTCAGTTGTTGTTGGTGTTGACGTGAAAAATAGGAACGTCCCCGGCCCGTAATGTGTCCGGTAGGAACACACACTGATGATTCAAACGTTCCGCTTTGATAACCGTCGCTTTGCCGCCATCTTGTGACGTGTTGTATCATAGCAGGATAAATGGACCACAGTCGAGTAATGAATACCTGTGGCTTTTAAATTATCAATTATTTAACACAGACTCATCCAACCACTTAGAATAGTGTGTGAAGGCCTTTGTAAATTACATATTAAGATTTTCCTTTTGGTGAAATCAATTCCAGTACCAATACTAAAATATCCAGTTAATTAAATGTAGTTAACAAAAATAACAGCATGTTATGTGTACTTTAATCAGGATATTATTAGGAATTCAGAAAGATAGATGGTTGAAGTAATACTTAGTTCACAACATAAATGGGTAAGTAATTAAAATTATATTATGGTGGTCCTGTTATTTATGAGTGCGGCTGCTCATCAAACCA